CACACAAACACTCCATCCATGCTTTTGTTCCGGCCCTCCGGTCCAGTTTAAGAACCCATTGTGGCCCTCGAGTCAAAAAGTTTGCCCACCCCTGGTCTAGTCTGTCTTCCATTCATCCAATAACCCATTCATCCATCCATCTACCTGATTTCCTTTCTTGATGGTTTCTAGTTGCAAAAATAATAATGAATCACCCATACCCACCCAATCCTAGCCCACCCCTAGCTCCTACACCACCTCCCCTCCCAACTCCCTGAGTTAACTAATATAAGTAGCTTAGAATGTGTTTACACATACTTTTCCCTTGTTCATACAAATACATATGCAGACAGTCTCATTTATATAAATGTGTTTTGTTGATTTGTTTGTTGCTAAAAAATAGAGATTCATGACATAAACCAGCATTTCTCAGAGCGTGGTCCCTACATCAGCAGCAGCAGCAGCAGCACCTGGCTGTTAATATGCAAATTCTCACCAAAGATCTACCGAGTCAGAAACTCTGGGCAGTGTGTTCTAGGAGACCTCCAGAGGCCCTTGTGCACCCTAAAGGGTGACAGTCACTGACAGACATGACTGGCCAACTTGGTTTTACACTTGACACATGATGGACATCCGTGCAAGTCAGTGGATAAGATGAGATACGTCTCTTCCTTTTCCTTCCTTATGTCTCTGGGCACACACACACGTCATTGTAGATAAACAAGATCATTTTGTATATATTCTGAGGTTTCTTATCGCAGCCTTCTTTTTAAGCTGGCCTTTACTTTTCCATCCTCCCCCACACCTCCCACCTTCCCTCAAGTATCTAGTGCCAACGCCTCAGCCTGTGCCATTCTGTAATTTTCCCATGCTTCTATAGCATCTAAAGCACACACATTCATGGGCTACTTGTTTAAATTGCTTGGTCTTAGAAAAATGGGATTATGTTGTATAGACTGCTCATCAGTATTCTTATTCAAAAATGCCTCATGAAACTATTCCCAAGTGAACTGTTGTAAGCTCCAGGTCGTTCATGATAATGGCTGCATAATATGTCATGTATGATTTATTCAACCATCCAGATGTTGCTGGCATGGAACAAAGCTATGATAAATAAGCTTATTAAAATATTCTTACATGTTGATGCTTTCCTTTCTACGGGATAGATTCCTAGGACAGGATTCCTAGGTCGGAAGGTAGGTTCATTCCTCATGGTAAGATGCCGCCATTTGCGTTCCCCAGAAAGGATTTCAAATTTACGTCGCCGCCCATTGTGCGTGGCAGAGGACTTTCTTCCTCATATCCCTGTCGGAGACAAGTGTTATCACTTGTTTAAACTTTGGCCAATCTGCTCAGAGCAAAGTGATGACCCATGAATCCTTTCTTGTCTGCCTAATCGACGTGTCTTAAAAATAGTCACATTGCATAGTGTATGACGAGGGGCAAGTTCTACAGCGTGGTTTTGATAATTAATTCCACGTCTGTGGAACTCTCTGTAACTCCCTTCTCAAGGGGAGTAATGTTTTCCCATTACAAACACCAAGAGGATGGGATTGATTGATTTATTTGTTGCTCACCTGAGGATATGTTTTTACTGATTTTAAAGAGAGAAAGAGAAATCGATGTGAGGGAGAAACATCCATTGGTTGCCTCCGACATGCACTCTGAACCCCTAACCCTTTGGTGCAAGGGATCACACTCCAACCAGCCGAGCTATCAGGCCAGAGCTGGGCCGTCTTTACATTTCTGCTTAGAGAAATCTCAAAATTGAGATTTTTTTTCCTCTTTTCTGTGACCTGAAAGGGAGACAGTATATCCTATATAATTCACACTCACTCCTGTACTTCCCAGATCTCTTTAGGTGTCCATTTTCAGCATCTTTCTACGTGCCTTGTTTATTCTAGGTCTCCAATATTCAATTTTAAAAATTAATTTTAAATAAGCTTGGGAATTAAAATGCATTCTGTTGGCAACAACAGTCATAGCATGTGAGTGTGTTGATAACCCTGGGGTCTCTAGGAGATGGGGTCTGCTGCCGTCCTCTGCTGGAAGCCTCATTGGCCAAGTCATCATTTGTGCAAACTAGAGGAGGAGGAGGAACCCCAGTTTTTACAACTGGATACCTCTCCCAGGCCAGGCCTCTTCCTACCACCCACTCCCTACCCACTAGCACCATGGAGAACCGACAGCAGAGGGAAGTCCCCTATGCACTGACAGAGCCTCAGAAAACTGTGGGGACTGTGGCTTTACATCCAGGGGTCCGGGGGGCACCCTGACCTCTCTGGGATTGTCTGTCATTAAAGAAGGCTGTGGGGGCTTATGAGCCCAGTAACAATTCCATGTGCAAAAGGACCTACTTGCCTAGCTCTGGAATTCTGCAAGTGGGAGCTGGGAGCCAGTCCATCAGGAGCGTTTTCGGAGCTCTGACTCTATCCCTGGCCCTCCCATTGGCCAATTAGTTCTTCTCCTGGCCTCTTCCTAGCAACAGAGCTGCCCCAGGGACCCACTGAAGGAAGACAATTGAAGATGTCACAGATGTAGTGATCTGAGAAGTGGTTCACTCTAAAGACATACATTTGACTGTTTGGAATTTACAGAATACTAGAAGCCCTGACATCCCCCAAGGGGTCCTGGATTCCAAGAGGGTGCAGGCCAGGCCGAGGGACCCCACCGGTGCAACATAGGGGCCGGGGAGGAATCATGGGAGGGCTCCAGGGTGTGTCTGGCCCCTCTCACCTAGTCCCAATCAGCCCAACCCCAGCAGCCAGCTAACCTACCGGTCAGAGCATCTGCCCTCTGGTGGTCATTGCACATCATAGCGACTGGTCAAATGGTTGAACAAACAGTCAGACACTTAGCCTATTAGGCTTTTGTTATGTAGGATTGTGTAATATTGTCCTAAGTCTGAATGGTTTAATTTTTTTCCTTCACCCAAATGCAGCATCTGGACCGTCTTATGAATCTCCCACTGGATTCCGTGAAGATGGAGCCTTGTTATATCAAAGTCAACCTGCTCCAGGAGCGCTTGCAGGATCTCAAGAGCCGCTTCAGATTCCCCCACGTGGATCTGGTGGTGCAGCGGACACAGAACTACATGCAAGAGGTGGGTGCCCACAGGGGCCTCCTGGGGATGAGGACGGAGCCAGCAGGGAAGCAAGCCCAGGCAGATGGGACTGGCGTGCTTGCAGCCAGGAAGCATGGCCATTGCCTTTGTCATCGTATCTGTGCTTTTAGCTGGCTTCATCTTCCCTCCATGTCATAGAGTAGGAACATCACAGAGTAGAACACCATGGAGTAGAAACATCCAGGGAAATAGGGTGGCATTCATGAATAATTACTTGGTTTGTCAACCCCTTGGCAATGGGTAAGGAGACACCTGATTGGTGGTGTTGCTCTTATATCAATCAGGGGCAAAGCAGACGTACAGTCCTTAGTTCATCCTAGCTTGATGCCTGTGTCGGTGGCCAGAGCTGTTTCATGCCTGAGGCACATAAAAAAATTACTTGGTTTGTCAAATCAGTGCTCCTAACTGTGGCTGCACATTAGAATCACCTGGGGAACTTTTAAGAAATACTGATGCCTAGGCCCCACCTCCAGTGAGTCTGAGTATATATATATATTTTTTTATTTTTTAAATTATTTTCTAGTTATTAAAAGTATATCTAGCTATAATTCAATAATTTTTAAAATTTCAATATTTTAAAATAATGTTAAAAATAATTTAATAATTTTAAACATATATTTTTATGGATTTTTAGAGAAGGAGAGAGAGAGAGAAACATCAATGTGAGAGAGAAACATGGATCGGCTGCTTCTGGCATGTCCCCTACTGAGGATGGAGCCTGCAGCCTGGGCATGTGCCCTGACGGAATTGAACCGGCAACCTTTTGGTGCATGGGACGACACCCAACCAACTGAGCCAAACTGGCCAGGGCTATATTTTAATCATTTTTAAAGATTTCCCCTACTCATTTCCACTGCTTCTAATATGTGTCCAGGATTGAGATCCACTGGCTTCAATTAGTCCCCTAACCTAGAACCAATCAGTCACTCATAGCTTCCTATTTGGATGTCTTGTGTTTATTTGATAGGCTCCTTGTTTCCCT